AAAAGGTTGTAATTTAATTAATGAAGTATCAAATCTTAAGCGGGATCAGTTAGACTTCGTGACCAGGACTGGATCTTTGGTATGGAATTTTAATAAATAATGAAGTGTTATTTCATTGGTATTAGCTGGTAGCTAACATTTATTAAGTCTTTGATACTTTGAACTTTTTTTTTTTTGATACTTTGAACTTTTTATATGCATGTTTTTATTTTAACCACAGTGATACGTCATTGCATTAAGATTTCTTAACCAGAATTCAAGCTCTTTTCTGAAAACTTTTTATTGCAATGTAATGACATGGCAAAGTAAACAGATCTTAAGCATTTAGTTCTATGAATTTTTACTAAATTAATGAAAGAGTGTCCTAGGAAACCTTCCTGTGCCTCCTGTAGTCATTGTCCACCAAATTCCAACATCTTGGTTAGCTTTGCCTATTTTGTAATAACTGCTTTATTGAGATACAATTCACATGCATAAAGTTTACTCTTTTAAAAGTGTCTAATTTATTTGTTTTCAGTATATTCACAGAGTTGTGCATCAATCACCACTAATTCCAAAACACTTGAATCTCTCTAAAAAGTAACCCCACTACCCTGCCTCTCCAGCCCCTAGCAACCAGTAATCTTTTGGTCTCTAAGGACTTGCCTACACTGCACATTTCATAGAAATGGAATCATTCAATGTAGCCTTTTGTATCTGGCTTTTTCACATGCTATAACGTTTTCAAGTCTCACCCATATTGTAGCATGAATCAGAACTTCCCTTTTTATGACCAAATAATATTTTGTTGTATTGTTATATTGCATCTGTTCATATATCTATTATTTGATTGAATTTTGGGGTTTTCCTACTTTTTGTCTTTTATGAATAATGTAAGGAACATCTGTGTACAAATATTTATGCAGTGATATACTATGCTAAATCAGGAAATATGAGTTCTTCAAATTTGCTCTTCTATTTTAAAGAATATTTTGACTGTTCTGGGTCCCTTGCAGTTTCATATGAATTTTAAGATCATCTTGTCAGAATTTGCCAAAATAAAAGGTCAGCTGGATTTTTGACAGGAATTGCTTTGACTCTTTAGATCAATTTAAGCAGCAGTACCATTTACCAATATCACGTCTTCTAATCCCTGGACATGGGATATTGTTCCACTGACTTTGGTCTATTAATACTTTTTGTGATGTTTTATTCTTTTGAATCACAAATCTTATGTTTCTTTTGTTAAATTATTTGGAAGTATTTTTTTTATGGTCATAAGTGGAATTGCTTTCTTGCTTTCATTTTTGGATTGTTTATGGGAGCCTCCTATTTTTGAACTTCATGTAAGTGGAATCATTTTGCTCTGTGCTCTTTTCTGTGCACTTCTTGTGCTTGGCATTGTGGCTGCGAGGTGCATCTTGTCACTGCCTGTAGCTCTTTATTCTCATCGCTGTGTAGTTTTCCACTGTCTGATGTGTTCTTATTTATACATTCCACCTCGATGTGCACTTGCCTTGTTTCCAGTTTGGGGCAATTCTGAACAGTACTGCTATTACCATTCTTGTACAAGACTTGAGGAACATGTTACACCTCTGTTGTGAGTGTATTCCTAGAGGAATGTTCAACTTTTGAAAATGCTGCCAAATGACTTTTACAAAGTGGTTGTAACAATTTGCAGTTCCAACAGCAGTGCGTTTGTTGCTTTCTACACTAAAAAGTCCAGTTTGTGTGATCTATTTCATTTTAGTCATTCTCAAAAGTGTAGTGGCATCTCATTGTTACAATTTGCATCTTCCTCATGACCAATGATGTTGAGCATGTTTGTTTATTTTTTTAATATATATATTTTTATTGATTTTAGAGAGGAAGGGAGAAGGAGAGATAGAAACATCGATGAGAGAGAACATTGATCTTCTGCCTCCTGTATGCCTCTCACTGGGGATCGAGCCTACAACCTGGGCATGGGTCCTGACTGGGAATTGAACCAGCAACCTCTTGGTGTATGGGTCAATGCTTGACCACTGAGCCACATGGGCTGGGCTGTTTTTTAAATTGGATATTTGGATAGTCTCTTTTATGTTGTGTTTATATAGTCATTGCTCACTTCCCATTGAATTATCTGCCTTTTATATTTATGTGTAGGAGTTTTAATTTATTATGGCTATAATTTAAATAGTATGATATTGGCACAAGTATAGGAAACTGAGCAGTCAACCATTATGGACCCTAGAAACAGACCCAGTATGTGCTGAGACTTATTTTAGGGAAAAAGATGATTCTGAAGTGCAAGGGGGGAATGATAGTCTTTTCAATAAATAGTACTAATTTAATCGATTACCTATGAATGTGAGTTCCTAACTCACACCGTATACAAATATATCAATCCCAGATGGACTGCACATCTAAAAGTGAAATGTGAAATAATACTGTGTAAATCTATAGGAAAATATATTCATCACTTTGAGGAAGTAAAATTTTATACATAGTACACAAAAAGCACGAACCATAAATTTAAGCAATAATAAATAGAGCCTCATTAAAAACAAGAAATTCTCTTCATGAAAAGACACTACTAAAATAGTGAAAGGACAAGACAAAGGTCACGAGATGCCAGCTCCTACAGACCCATGTAAAAGAAGACTGTTATTCAGAATTCAAATTATTTTAGAGAAGAGGTAATTTTCAAGATTTTTATTATGGAAGTATATAACTATGTGTTGAAAAGGATCTTTAGCTGACTTTAAAAGTCACGGTCAGCCCTGGCCTGTTTGGCTTAGCGGTTAGAGCATCGGCCCAGGAACCAAAGAGTCATAGATTCGATTTCTGTCAAGGGCATGTGCCTTGGTTGTGGTTTGTTCCCATCCCTGGTCAGGTCATGCGGGAGGCAGCCCATCAATGTGTGTCTCTCCCATCGATGTTTCTCTCTCGCCCCCTCTCTCTCTCTCTGAAAATAAATGGAAAAAGGTACCTTAGGTGAGGATTAAAAAAAAAAGTCAAGGTAAAATTAATAGCACATATGCCCATAGATTTTAAATAAGTTAATTCTTAAATTTTCACTGATACAATGCCTAAGGCAAGATAAACAAAGGAAAATAATAAATGCGACTACATCAAACTGAAAAGCTTCTGCACAGTAAAAAACAAAACAAAACAAAAAAACAAGCCTCAAAATGGAAAGGGAACCCGCTATATGGGAGAGCATAATTGTCAATGATACATCAGATAAGGGGTTATTTTCAAAATATAGAGTACTCATACAACTCAACAAAATGAAGACAAATAACCCAATTAAGATGAGTAGAGGGCCTAAACAGACACCTCTCCAAACAGGACATACAAATGGCCAAGAAACATATGAAGAAATACTCAACATCACTAATCACCAGAGAGATACAAATTAAAACATCTAGGAGGTATCACCTCACACCTGTCAGAATGGCCGCCATCAACAAATCATCACACAACCAGTGCTGGCGAGGGTGTGGAGAAAAGGGGACTCTAGTACACTGCTGGTGGGAATGCAGACTGGTGCAGCCACTATGGAAAACAATATGGTGTTGCCTCAAAAAATTAAAAAGTGAACTGCCATTTGACCTAGTGATCCCACTTCTAGGAATATACCCTAAGAAGCCTGAAACACCAATCAGAAAGAATATATGCACCCCTATGTTTATAGCAGCACTAATTACAATAGCTAAGATCTGGAAACAGCCCAAGTATCCATAAGTACACAAATGGATAAAAAAGCGGTGGTACATATACACAATGGAGTACTATGCAGCTGTAAGAAAGAAGGATCTCATATCCTTTGAGATGACATGGAGAGACCTGAAGTATTACGTTAAGCAAAATAAGCCAAGCAGAGAAAGACAAATATCACATGATCTCACTTATTTGTGGAATATAATGAACAAACCAAACTGATGAACAGAATGGACATGGAGACATGGATGTGGGGTACAGACTGACAAACTAAGAAGAGGAGAGGGGAGGGAAGAGATAGACCACAGAACTTACATGCATGTATGCGTAACCAATTGACATATACAGCAGTGCTGGGGAGAGGGTGTCAATGGGGGAAAAAGGAGAAGCATCTGTAACAAAAATAAATCAATAAAAAATAAATTATTAGACATGGGAAATTATTAATATAAATTCTATAATTTTCTGAAATCCAACATACTGTATTTGAGAATACAAAGAACACACTAATATTTTACATTTTATCATTTAGTTTTTCTGTTTGTTGAATTAACTAAAACACTAAATTTTATTATTTCATTACCTAAATACTACTAAATTCTATAGGAAGTCCAAATTGCCAGACATTCAAATGGGTACAATTTTTTGTCTAAAATTTAATCCTATACATAATGTTTTTAAAACTTACTAGGGTCCTGTAAAATTGTTAGTTTTAAATTAAAAAATAGTTATAATTGTAGTAAAAATTTTTAGAAAATTTAGCCCAGCAATGCTAAGAACCTGTTATGATGTCACGTAATTATAAGAAATGCATCTGTGTCTGTGTGTGTGTAGATAATTGTAAAAAATATATATACAATTGTTATTAAAGATTGTATAAAATTTCAGTTCCAAAATATTGGAACTTTTTAAAGTTATATTATACCTGGGCTCTATTCTTTAATCTTAGTAAATGCTAATTTATTTAGAACTAAATATTTATCTTATATGATTAATTGTAATTTCAAACATTATTGACTTTCTCTTTTGAATTTAAGTTAGCTTTGATATTTTCAAGATTAATTTAGAGAACTGATTTTTAATCATTTTGGAAAACTGGTAAAAAGACTTCTGTGACAGATGTATCATAAGACGTTTTTATTTTGTTCCTGTTGAATTCACACTGTCAATTTTAATGAATTCTACCCAATTAAAGTGGTGTGCATGTCTTTCATGAGTCCATAATCAATATAATCAATTACATTTTCCCATAATTGCGTAGATGTAATTTTATCTCCGGATGTTGGAGGATTAATGCGTTTTTTAATATGTTGCAGGATTGTGAGAAGCTGGAGAATAATTTTGATGACATCAAGCACACGACTCTTGGTGAGCGAGGAGCCCTCCGAGAAGCAATGAGGTAAGTCTGGGTCACCATAGCAACAGTCACAGATGTGGTAAAGAAAAAGTCATTCTTCATTATTGGGGGAACAAATGAGTTCATTGCCACCATTCAGCTCTGTTCTCTAAGGTATTAATTTGTCAGTGGAGAGACTTCCCTGGAGGCTGTACTTTGGTTTCGAAGCTGCATAAATGTTAAGCCTCAGTGCACAGTAAAAAATGTAAATGTTTAATTTGTTACTTAAAATGCTTAAGGGGTGTCTTGTTTTATATTTATACTAAACTGTGTGATTGAATGGAAAGATTGTTCATCTGAATTCTGCCTGTTTGTAAAAGAGTAAACAGCACGATAACTGAGCGGTATTTCCTCCTAATTAATATTTAATTAAAGAGGAGGCACTTAGAATTTTGTATTGGACTTTATAGAAATATATCATGGTATTTTAAAACAGATTTATATTTTCAAACTATTATAGAATATATAGATTAACTTGTTTTCAAAGATAGTCTATAATGAGTGTGATTTTTTTCCACATTTTAACATTACTATTTGTGAATATTTCCTTGAATTTCTTCCTCAATTTGATGCCTTTTTAATAACTTTTAGGAAGCAGTATTTAAATCCCTCTGATCAGGGTCGAGGAAAGCTTTTTACTAGACATTAAAAATGTGTGAAGTATAAAACTCACTGTCCAACAACAACAAATACTAACTTAAAAGTTGTCAGTTGGTTGTCTGAATGTGATAATTTCCAAAGTCATTGTGTAGAACTGGAATATTTACCTTCATTCAGCTTATGAAATGCATTGATTTTTAAAAGATATCTGGTTCTATCATGCTCATTTTCTCTTTAGAATCTGAAATCAAGGCTGAACAAAACCTAAAATAAAGGGAAGGATAAGCTGCGAGGTCTCATGGAAGGGGCGTTTGAGTCCAGTTTTCTTAGTGCAAGTACATGGTTACCACATACTTTAGTTTAGAAGCTGATTTCAGTTAGCGACCTCCCTTTCACCATGCAAGCAGCAGGGGAAAGTAATTAAATTTAATAGAAGCTGCCCTCATTTTGAAGCCACTTCTATTTAAAACCACAGGGGGAGGTAATTAAATTTAATGGAAACAGTAGCTTCTACACAAAGATACATGGTACTTCTGCATAGATGATTATGATGTCATGAAAAGAGGAATAATATATTACTAGTACGGAGAAATTACCAGCTGGAGCAAAGGAGCCTATTTTATTGTTAATGTCTTTACTAATAAAAAAAAAGGGAAAAATAAAACTGAGTACACAACAGAGAATTTATATCTACATAAAATGCAATCAGACATTCTCAGAAAGTTAAAGTTATTGAAAATAGTAGTAAATTAAACGTAAAGTGTAAAAAATATTGTGGAAAAGGTCAGTGCAGAACTTATCAATGAGCTACTGTTTTTCAATGTAGTCTTTATCCTCTCTTAAAACAACCACAATTCTCCACTGAACACATCACTCTGTGCATGCCTATTATAATAATTTGAATATATTAAGCGTGCACACCGATATTTATTTAGGAAACTACAGTTATTCTTATTCTCTGTACTTTTGTGTCTATTCAGTTTAAAAACACATAGACACGCAGGAAGACAAAGAGAATAAAAGAACTGAAGGCCAAAACCACAGAAAGTCTTGCAGAGGGGGAGTGAGGAGAACGAGGGAAATGCAATAAACAAAGGACGGCACCTAATTAGTACAGAAAGTCTGTCATCAAGGAAACACCAATTGAATTATGGGACAACTGTGTATGAAGAGATGATTACATTCTGCCGAATTTGTTAATAATTGCCATTTTAGAAAATACCCGGATATTCTGCTTTTAAGAAAGTAGAGCTGAACTAATGAGAAAAACAAGTGTTACCTGGTTGGAGTAGCCTGCCTGCCGGATGCTCTGAGATAAAGCGGTAGTCTAGATCATTTCAATCAGCATTTAATTACACGGCTGTGCAACGCACTTTGTTTACATAGTTTGCATATATTACACACACATACACACACGTTATTGGTAATGTTTAGATTCGCTAAACACAATTAAATAATTTGGTGACTGAAAGCATTGAACAATGTTGTGTGCTGTGGGCCTGGCACGTTTCGTTTTTGGTTTTTGCCCTTAGAAAATGCAGCAGCAGCTCATTCTTTTCCATGTGAGATTCTGAAAACATGTCAACAAAAATGTCGCAATGCCATGTGACTAATAGAATAAGAGGAGAATGTAGGAAGGGGTGAAAATTCTTTATTCTCCCACCTGTGAGCAGTCGTCGCCTTACAGGGGGTGGTGCCTGCATCAGACCCCACGGAGGCCGTGCTGGTCTGACCCGGGTCCGGGGCGGTGCTGTGCGGGTGGGGCAGCGCTGGGCAGAGCGAGGGGGCTGCAGGTGTGCAGGCGTGGATTTCAGGAACAGAAGTGCCTGACATAGAGGAACATTTCTTCGGGTTTTTCTTTTTACCTTTTTTGTTACTCCTCACCTGAGGATATTTTTCTATTGAATTTTAGGTAAAGTGGAAGGGAGATAAGGAGAGAGGGAGGGAAGGAGGAAGAGAGAGAAAGAAAAACATCAATGTGAGAGAGACACATTATTCATTGCCTCCTGCATGGCCCCCACTGGGGAGGGAAGGAACCTGCAACCCAGATACGTGCCCTTGACCAGGAATGGAACCCGAGACCCTTTGGCCCAAGAGTGGATGCTCTCACCACTGAGCAACCAGCCAGAGCCTCAGGCTTTTTCTGTTTTCCCAAAAAACTCACAGAGGCAGAGAGTTTTTCCACCATTCACATCTGTCCTTATTTGCTAAGGACCTTGGGTGGAAGCGGAGCAGCAGGAGGTAGCAGGGTAATGGGAGCCACTCAGGGTTTCAGAGTGCCACGGGGCAGCGGGGACAGGTGTGAATAATTTGTCCAGAACCTCAGTTAGCAGGAGGCTGGTCCCAGCAGGCGGCTGGACATTGTTTGTTATATCCTGGAGACCAGTGACCTAATGTCTAGTTTGCCATGATGACAAATTTAAATTATTTCAGGGAGTTATCCTGATTTTAAGGAAGGGGTGACAGGGTTAACGGGTCATTTGTAGCTCTAGGATTCTAGTGGGGAAGGAGATCGGGCGCAAGGATGGATCCTGTCGTCCATCCACTTCATGCACTTGTATTGGGCATGTACACACCTGTAATACAGCAGCTAAGGGGACAGAGCGAAGGACGCGGCTCTGCCCCCGAGGAGCCCGTGCGTCCCGTGAGGGCAGGAAGATTGCTGTGTCGTGTCTTCCGTTCTTGCCTTCCTGCCGCACAGCACAGAGGAGGTTCAGTGACTGTGTGTTGCATTACTGATAAAGTACACATATGGGGTGGGCAAAGCAAGGTTTACAGTGGTCCACATAGAAAGACTCACAGGTTATGATTATTACAATAGCTCTGTTAACTCCAAAGAAGGTCACAGGGCAACTGTAAATCTACTTTGCCCACCGTATGCATTCCACTTCTCCGACAGGGGGAGAGCCAGGTGGTTTGTAACAGAGTGATGGTGTGAAAACGGAAATTAACAAGATGGCTTGAGAGGGAGGAGACAAAGTGACTGTTATTCTCCAAAGGGGTGATTTATCTCTCGAAAGCCCAAGAGAGTTAACAACAAAGGCACCCTAGGAATTAATAAGAGAATTTAGTGATGTGGCTAGATTCAGGATAAAGATGGAAATCCATGAGCATTTCTATGTATTACCTACAGCCAGTGAGTGGTTGTAATTGATAATAGATCCTACAAAGACCCTATAAAGCTATTACTATATTATAAAGTACCCGAATCTTCCAGGACATGTTGAGTTACTCAGAAAACGGTATAAGAGGCCGTTGTTTCGCTGTTTGGAAGAAAGAAATTACTTTATAGTCTCACCTCACACGTGCTAAAGGAGATTTCATGTATATGAAACTGCTAAATGAATAGCCAAAGTTCAATAGATTGTGGGAGGGGACTGTCTTTTTGAGGTTTGATGGGGGAAAAAATGATAGGCTAAAAAGTAGTTGAAGAAATAACTAAGCTTTGGGTGTATTATAAAAGTTTATGTGTAAAAAAAATCACAAAATTAATAATCATCAGTGTGTCATATTGTATGTGTATAACAGGTTTTAAAAGATTAGCTCAGTGGATAATTGGCAAAGTATGATTATGTAAACCTTGAAAGTATTCAACTCTAACAGCAAAAATCTATAAAACCACACCCTCACGTCTGGTAACTGTACTGCGGCGCAGCGGGAGGGCCGTGGGGTGCTGGCGAGGGCCTGGCAGGGGCCGGGGCCCTGGGCGGGACTGCCGCACTGAGGCAGGTCGCGCGGACCGATACCTGCTCAGAGCCTTGACACAGACCCATTCTTTCAATATTAATCGAACTTCAATATTAACTGAATTTCTTGAAACATAGTATGCAGAAGACATTGAAATTATGGACAATCCAAACCTGTTCCTCAAACTGGAGAATATAATGGTGAGCAAACTGAGTAGAACCTAGCTGTATGCTGTTAAAAAAATAAGGAAATGAAGTTTTTATATGTGTAATATGCTATAATAGTTTATTCACACACACGCGCGTGTGTGTAATGGTAAATTGTGGCATAATGAATATTAAAATGATCACTAACATGATGTTTTCAGTGACATAAGAATCCTCATGTTATGATGTGCAATGGAAAATACCACACACCAAAAAAACGGCATGTAGAACGTGATGGCCACTGAATATACAAAATGTAGAGAAAAAAGTAGGGATAAAATAGAGCACATCAGCTATTAACATCTGGCTGATGGGTTTACAGATACTTCTCTCAGGCTTATAATTTGCTGTTCTCTTAAATTTTCTATACTGGGAGCACTTTATGAATGATTAGAAAATCAATGAAGTAAGAGATGGAAAAAATGGAAAGAAATTACATGAATAGTAGGATAAGTGGTAGAAATCAGATATGAGACTCCAACTGTGATTTTAGCTAAGTCTATTTTTAAT